CCCCTCGACGCCCAAAGTCAGCAGGAAGCAGTCATGAGAGACCGGGCTATGCCCCCATTCCCTACCCCTTAAGACCCGCCCCAATTTAATTTTTTTTTAATAAACCAAAAAGGTTGGGATGTTATTCCTTGGAAACTACAGCTCCCAGATTCCTCCTGGATTACCATCACCTGTGCGTGCGGGCGTGCCCAGGTGCGGGTCTCCCAGATAACCTTGCGCTTCCCGTTAAAAGCGAGCTTCCACGAGGTCTCGCTCTCTCTCACCCCCCTCTGGCCCCTTGTGTGTCTCGCACACCCCATCCCTTATCGTGTTTCCCTTTCCCCATTAAAGCGCACCCACGTGGGAGCCGCGTGTCTCGTCTCTTCCTTTTGCGCGTGTCTCGTCTATCCTGTGTTTGTCCACACACCCACCGCCGCCGTTTTTAAAGGAATAATACCAAGTGCTATTTCATGCTTGAGACTTTCTTTCTCCAGGGTTCTACTCTGGTTTTCTTTGGTCCTTGTTATATTATACTTCTGCATTAATACCTCAGGCCCTAATGATACATTTCTAGTCACTTGGCTTCTACAAATTAAACTCACAAAACAAGTAATCAAATCGTGGAATCACATAGATGAGAGAACATGAAGCATTTGTCTTCATGGACATGGGTGACCTCATTCAGCATATTCATTCCAGTTTCAACCACTCACTTATATAGTTTATGATTCCTGTCTTACTACTGAGGACTATCCCATTGTTTATGTGCCACAGCTTTCATTATCTGTTTGTCCTTTGTTGGAAATCTAGGTTGATTCGTTTTCCTATCTGTTCCGAATAGAGTAGCAATAAGTATTGATGTTCAAGTGTCTTTGCAGTAAGATCTAGAGTCTTTTGAGTATATACTTGGAGGATAAAGCTAGAGCACAGAACAGTTTTATTTAGTATTTTTGATGAAATTTCTAAAGTCAGGACACTAGTGTACACTGTCATCAACAGTGCACGAGGATCAACTTTTTTCGACAAACAAGTATGATATTTATTATCATTTATTTTCTTGTTCATAGTCATTCTAACTGAGGTAAAAATAAAACATTAAAGTTGTTATGAACTGCATTTCACTGTGAGATAAGGACTGTATCACTGTACACCATAGAGAAACCAACCAGAAATTGAATGGGAAATACTTCCTTCAGCTACCCTCCCTAATGTGGGAAGATGTTATTCATTCTGCATTGGAAGAAAGGACATCAATGATCATATAAAGTACCAGAGTCTTTCATAATAGCCTTCTAATAAGATATACCCACTAGTGACTGAGAGTTATGTGATGATCAACTTTAATCTAATTATATTCTTTGAGTAATTCATTGTAAATATTCATCCCCGGTAAACATGTTCAAAAACCCATGGCTTGGGGTAACATATGCCCTAGTAGACCCTACCCAAGTTTTATTGCTAGCAGTCATGTTATCAAATTGTAATATAAATATTTATTTTTACAACCAATAGATTCGTCTTGCTCTCATCCATGATCACAAGAACTTCTGTGTGCAGTGGGTAATAATTAATGTAAACATTCATACCTTGTCAAAGTGCTAAAAATGGAAGACTGAGTACTCATCCATAGATGAGCCATCTGTATTCACTTTGAACCCAAAACTTAGGGACCTTCACAAAAAAAGATGTGATCAAATTTAAGAACCAAAATATGGGGTGCTTAGCAATGAAATACTGTTGTCGGGACCTGATATAGCTACTATACATATGAACTCTCAGCATCTACACTTACCAGCTCATGATCTCAACAAATCAAGCAAGTGAACATTACAGCATGAGAGTCTGTTAAGTAACTGAATGAGTAAAGTTGTCTACTTGTAAGCTTGGCAATATTGCTTGAATTCTTTTGTATTTACTTGGTAGAAATGAGAATTAAATTTCATAAGCTGTATTCCAAGGTTCTTATAGGTATCTTGATTTATTTGGGCCTTGATTTCACCATTAAACACAATGTAACAATTTAAGAAAATAATAAATGTCTCTGTATCCCCTATTCCTAGAAATGTTTGATAGGATTAGCTTCATAGATTGCATAGATTTTCCATTGTACTAGTTCTCCTGAATGTAATACCTTCTGTAACCATGCAATGTTTAAAGGGATGGTGTTAATACACCAAACCAGCCACAAAACCATTGACCTACAGTTAGGTTGTCCTGCCTGGAGAGTCTTCTGTATCTTCTGTGACTGGAACCTAGCAAAATCTTCATCATTGATACCAAGGAGATTGCATCTAGCAACTGATGGGAGCAGATTCATAGTCCTTGAGCCAAATATTAGGTGGAATTCATAAAGGCCTACTAAGGAGTGGGAGAAAAGATTGTAAAAATCAGAGACCCCACAGACATCCTGAGATCATGGTCCACATAATCAACTAATGGGGATTCATGGGGGTTCGTGGAAATCAGGAATCTGGTAGGGCTTCCTTAGTTCCTCAGTATACCTGTTATGGCTGAATAGCTTGGCATGCTTTTGGAATTAATAACACTGGAAACAGGGTCTGTCTGATTCTTTGCCCTACTTGTTGGGCACTTTTTCGTTCTACTGGGTTTAATTATCCAGTAATTATTGCTCTTATTGTAGCTTGTTATGCCATATTTTATGGATATTTCTGGAACGTCTGCAATTTTCTGGGTGGAGACAACAAGATGCATCTGTGGGAGACATAAGTATGGGTGAGAGAGAAGAGTAAGTGGACATTTTGATTGGGATGTACTTTATGAGAAAACATTTAAAAATTTGAAGAAATATCACAACATGATAGGCAAGGATTCTTCATTGGCCAACTCCAAGCTTTGACTCTATTGGTATTGGGTGAGTGATGAAAAAGAATAATCACTTTTGGGAAGGTCTTTAGAGGCTCCTTCAACACCTTCTTTACTATGGAATGACACACCTATTTTTATATACATAGCAGAGTTTGGACTTACTCTGCTATTATGAAACAAAACAAAGACTTTTTGGAAGCTCCCAAAGAATTCAGAGAAACATTGTTGGGCATAGACATGATCATAATATAATTTATAAATGAAGGAAAATTTTATACAATAAGCAAAATCATTTTGAAAAATTAAGATAACAATTTTATATAAGTTTAGAATTTTTATACTTGGCCATTTTACGCTATGCATATTTCCCCCACAACTCCTACCCTTCATTTTATTGATAGTCCTGCTTTTGCAGTTGTTGGGATAGGAGCGGCGGGGCTGCTTCCCTGGCACCCGGCCGCCCGCATGGCTAGGTTATGCCCTGAAATAATTACACGGAAACTGTATTCTTTTAAAAACTGCCTGGCCCGGCTAGTTCCAGTTTCTTATTGGCTAGCTCTTACATATTGTTCTAACCCATTTCTAATATTCTATGTAGCCCACGAGCTGGCTTACCAGGGAGGATCTTAACCTGCATCTGTCTGGAGCGGGAGAATCATGGTGACTCCCTGACTAAGCTTCTTTTTCCCAGCATTCTCTTCTGTTTACTCCACCTACCTAATTTTCTGTCCTATGAGGGCCGAGGCAGTTTCTTTATTATTAACCAATGAAAGCAACAGATAAGATACAAGACCCACCTCCATCATGCAATATTTTGCTAAAGAGTTTCATTTTTAAGTTGTTAGATATTTGCACAAATAGTTCTGTGAACTTATACAATATATAAAAACTACTTAGAGTTCCATATAGTATCTATATTTCAGAGATAATTTTAATTAACACAATTATTGCCAATTACATTGATTTTCTAAAGGTGATATAAGTTTCTTATTCTTCAGATGATGTAGTCCGGTTGTGTTACGCATATAGCCATGTCTTTTTGGTGCAATCTTCTGCTGACAGGCATGAAGATTATTTCCATAAGTTATGGTAGATAGTGCTGCATTAAACATCAGTGTGTAAATATTTCTGAGGTATGTTTCTTTAGGTCATTTCAGTGAGTTTTTGTATGAAACCTTCTCTTATGGCAAATATTAATCATTTGAAATGAGGCAATAATTTCTCAAATTTTAGCAAGTTTTTAAACTTCCAGTCCCCACAATTATCATCACAATCTCCTTCTGTAAATCAAAATCACAACCTTGTCACAAAGTGGAAAAACTGCCCCAGGCCAGAAATCTACTGAGTGCTTAGGTCCTTATTGTTAAACCTACAACATCTGCAGAGTTGAGGAAATATTATGAGATTCATTTCCTCAGACAGAATTAGGACTTAAATTTTATCATCCTCTTGTTTGACTCAAATCTCTTCCACTACCTTCTCAAACTGAACAAAGTGCTTATTTAAGAAGTCCCCTGTTCTTGAATAGGCAAATTACCTGAGTCTATTATGGTAAATACAGGAATGTCCATCCACACCCAACAACAACATATGATCAGTGTCTTCGCCACAGTCACTGAGCACACAGGCCCACACCATGGGATGGAACTGTATCATTCTCTTCCTTGTGTCAGTAACTACAGGTAAGGAATTTCTAATTCCAAACCTAAGGAGAAGACAGGCACTGAGGTGACAAGGTCTCTGACAATCTACTCTGTCTTTTTCTTCACAGGTGTCCACTCCCAGGTGCAGCTGCATCAGTCAGGGCATGAACTGGGGAAACCTGGGACCTCAGTGAAGTTGTCCTGCAAGACTTCAGGCTTCACTTTCACTAGCAACTTTATTAGCTGGGTGAAGCAGAGGCCTGGACAGGGCCTGGAGTGGATTGGATGGATTTATCCTGGAGATGGTGATACTAAATACAATCAGAAGTTCCAGGGCAAGGCCACACTGACTGCAGACAAATCCTCCAGCACAGCCTACATGGAGCTCAGGAGCCTGACATCTGAAGACTCTGCAGTCTATTACTGTGCAAGACACAGTGTTGCAACCACATCCTGAGTGTGTCAATAACCCTGCAGGAGCAGGAAGCCGCCCTGGGACTGACATGACAGAGAAAATGAGTCTTAAAAAATTCACAGAAACAAACATTTTAAATGCTGCTTTGTCTCTCACTTTTTTTGTAACAACTTTTCAAAATTATTTTTGTGAATGCAGTCATGCTGATTTAGGGTGACTAAATACCATACGTTCATAAACTCTTCACCAATGACTACATTTATTGAAATGTTTTTCCATTAATTAAACAATAAAAAGTGATAACTGTGATTATGAAGTGTGGTAAAAAAATATCCATCTCTGGATAATAAGAGAATAGGACTTTTGGAGGTAGTTTTTAATAAACTGAAATATAAATTTGAGCAATAAAGTTCAAATAATAACTGCTGGAGAAACAAAAGTCCTTCACAGTCTTAAATGTTACATGACTTTAGGTTTAGATTTGACTCTACCTGTGTGGTCCTGCAAAAGTTCTAGTCTCTTAGAATGTTAGATATGTGTCAAAATGCACTGCATATGAATATACTTCCTGTAAGTAAATAAAAAGTATGATTAAATTACTTTTCACAAAATCATTAATCAAGTCAATGTATGTACATGTTAATTAAAGTAGGTTCTGAGATCATACATTATTGTCTGGTCCCATTTGACTTCTTTCTCCATCTCAGAAACTTGCCCCACAGTCTCAAATCTTTATAGAACACAGAACTATACTGATACGTCATCACCTCTCACAGGCCATTGGATATCTGCCTGGTGGTCACCTTTGTTCTACCATGTGTTTTGATTTTTGAATGGTTGAGTACTTGTGAATGTCATAACTAAATTGTACTGTCTATCAACTCACTTCATCTTCAATGTTCACTGGTACAGCTATATCCAACAGCACCAAAGAAAGATTGGGTTTCATGGAGATCTGGAAGTCATCTGAGGCACAGCTCACCATTCATTCTTGAAACATCTACTCAATATCTCCTTAGACAATGAAGGAAGCAGAGAGAGTCATATTTTGGCACAGAGTGAGCTTGTCAGAGATTTTCTGGTGAAGGGAGGAATCTATGTCCATAGATAAAGCAGAATTATTCCAACTATCCTATAAATGTGTCTGAACTTGACCCTAATCATATTCTGTGTCATTATAAGAAGAGCAGTCACAGAAATTTATTTAAAGGTTAAATGACACTGAACACTAAGTCTAAGATTAATATTGTTCAACTGACTTCCTGTAAAAGAGAAGCTTCTTCCAAAGCTTCCTGAAGGCCCCTGTCTACTAGATTTATAGGAATTTTCAGACAACAAATTTTGAGCATCAATTAACATCCTCTGTAGTATGAACCTGTACTAAGAAAGTTGTATATACAACAGTTCTTACAGTAGTAATGTGTATAATAATGCTAAAATAAAACAACATTAAGTCATTTAGGCCTACTAAGAACATTAGTAATTTCTTTTATAACACATGTTAAATAGGTTCATCCATATGTCCTAGGTTAAGAAATTGATTCTGTGGACTTTTTGTTGATAAAAAATGAATGTCAAGGTACAATTTATCATCTCCCTACTTTATGCTGAAATTAGGGCATTATAGTTGGGAACCCCCCAAAACAGCAATATTGGCCAAGTCCTGTAAGTGCAGGTTGTTTCTCTCATTGTTTGTGCTCTGTAGGACCATCTGAGACTGGGGTTGCATAGTCTGTGATGATGGACCAGGATATAGATTCTGAGGAAACAGTTAGAGTTGATGTTGGATTTGCTGGAAGTATCTGTGTTTTATTTGAAACCTGTTGGACAGATAGACTAGGGAAAGCAGTACAGTTAAATAGTTCAGAAAAAAAATTATGGTGGCATCATAGTCTTGGTAGATGGCAAAACAGATTTTCAATATTGATAGAGAGAGAGAGAGAGAGAGAGAGAGAGAGAGAGAGAGAGAGAGAGAGAGTCCCATTAAGAAAATGGACTGGTGGGAAACAAATCACAGTTTGGTTGTACTTTTTTTAAGTTTATCTCAACCTGTGGCTATTGGTGAATTCACGGTGATGTTTAGAAGCCCATAAGAACCTTCATAAAGAGACAAAAAAATCCATAACATTTTTATTATTTGTGGTTATTTTAATAGTGGTGGTATTTTGTCAGAATCAGAATAAAAGTTATTCAGATTTTATTAAGTACTGTCAAAATCAAGAAACTTTGGAGTCCCAATGTAACAGGAGAATAGTAATAGAAAATAATCTGGAACATGTTTCTTTCTTATATACCTCAAATCACTTTTGTATCATTACTTAAACCTTCTCATCCTCAAACCTGCATAATTGCTTTTATCTATCTCGATAGCTTGCATTTTACATATTCTAAGTTATTTTTTTCTTCCTCAAACATTTTTATCTAAGCCTTTATATATCCCCCTACCTTAAACCTATACATTTACATCTTATAAAACTTCCTGCAAACTTAAACCTTCATGTTTTACTTAAGCTTTCTTCTTTTTGACCTTCATATATGTTGTCACAACTTTAGAACAAAATTAGACCCATATACCTTGTATAATTTATTTCCCTTGGACTACATATAAAAAAAACTAAAGCTTTTAGGTTCTCAGACCTTATATAAAATTGTACTCATATATCTTAAAAATTTATTTCTTATATTATTTTAAACCTTATAGCTTACATTTAAATTTTATACCTTTTTATCCAACTATGTCGGGGGACATGGGTCGTTGGTTAATGAAATATTCACTGTAGGTTTATTTCCTTTAAAAAAAAAGGCAATAATAAAAAGTTATTTTGAACCTGTTTGGAGTGAGGTCAGTGGCTTAATTTTTGTTTAGGAAAACAAAACTGAGAAGGCAGCTGAAGTCTCTGGAAGTTGCTTTTTAGGTTACATTCATTCAACAAATTTTATTTTGAAACGTAAGCTTAATGGTCCATGTATCAATTAAAATAATAGAGACTCCAAAGTGTACATCATTTGAACAGAGTTTTGGCAACAAGCAAGAGGCATGGCACAGTTTTGTCTGTAATGGGAAACTTAAACCTTTTTTAATGTATAGGGACTAAGAAAGGAATTGTTTATATTATGTAGCATACTTAATCTCCTTTCCTCCTAATTATCTTCAATAGCTCACAATTTAAGTAAATTTATTCTTAACAGTTTATAATATAAGTTGTCTTTGTAAACTTACAACTTTATGTTTAATCTCTTTTAGATTTAGAGAGCTTTTAGGGAGTCAAGGAAGTTAAAGTAGGGATCTGAGTGTAATTATGAAGAGGCAGAGAAGGTAATGCCTTGGTAACAAAAGTTTAAATCCAGTAGCCTCCAAACAGAGTGATAGACTTGTCAGATAGAAATATCCCCATTTACAGAGGAGAGACTTCCCTCTTCATGTGATGGGAGTGAGGAAGGGGTAAAGGAAGATTTCTGACATACCAGTGTGATTTGTCTAGTAGAAATAAACAAAAGAGGGAGCTGCATACTGTTACTTACCTCTGTAGGGGAAAGAGAAATGAGTACGTAGAATTATCCAAAGTGTTGGGATTAAGATAAGGCTTCAAGAATTACATTTTAGAATTTAACAGGAAAGTATCTTTTTTTTTAAATATATTTTTTTTATTGAAAAAAAAAAGGATTTCCGCCTCCTCCCCGCCTCCCATTTCCCTCCCCGTCTCCCTTTTCCCCCCTCCTCCCTCTCCTCTCCCCCTCCCCCCACTCCTCTCCCCCTCCCTCTCCTCTCCCCCTCCCCCCCACTCCTNTATTCAGAGAGTCCGGTTTTATCCCATGGTTTTTCAGTCGTAGTCCAGCTGGCCTTGGTGAGCTCACAATAGATCAGCCCCACTGTCTCCGTGGAAAGTATCTTAAAAGAGGATCTCCAAATAATTACTCCATGTGCAGTGACAGACATGCCTCAGGGTCCTGAACAAAAGTGTTTAAGACTCCCCCTTATTTTATAAGAATAGATGATCTATTATAAAGTGGAGGCCTATCTTAATTATTATATTTTGCAGGTTTTTTTTCTCTAAATCAGAGGCATCATGAAGATGTAAAGTCTCCTTAGAAGTGTCATCAGATGTTTCCAGTTCATTGTTTAACAGAACAATAAAATCCCCATGCTTTAGTAAAGGTTTTTTTTTTTTCTTCCAGGAATAGGAGCCTTAACACTTACAAACCTCTTAAGATAAGATACTTCTTTAGAAACATTGTCATGGAGATCTGTCTCTCCTTCTGTAAGCAAATTTTGCTTAATAAGTTCCCCTCAAAATACCACTTGAATAAAAATATTTTGAGCACCATGTTTAGTTTAGCGACAGCTTATATATTTTTACCTTCTTTTTTTCAACTTATAAGTCTTAATTTCCATGGTCTGAAATCCAAGGATTCGTCTTTTTACAAAGATAAAATTGACATTTTTTTCTTGAACATTAATATTATATTCTTCCTTCATTCCTTCTTTCCTTCCCTTCTCTTTCTTTTTCTCCTTCCTTCCTTCCTTCCTTCCTTCCTTCCTTCCTTCCTTCCTTCCCATTCTTCCTTCCTTCCCTCCCTCTTTCTCTCTCTTTCTTCCTTTCTTTATGGGGACACTTTTAAGAATATCTATATACATTTGACTCTCATAGGAGTGTATGGCTTTCTACCTTGGAATCCTCAAGAAGGGTATTAGCGCAGAACACTGGAAAGGAAATCCAGACATCATAAAAGGCAACAGATTTGTAAACAGGTAAACAGGTAAACATTTGTAAAGATTGGGGGAATGATTGAATTTTATGAACAAGAACAAAAGGTAAAAATGGCAAAATTTTACCTCATCCATACGTAAAAATCTCCAGGATAGCTTCCCCAAGGTTATGCCTGCCTTTCCAGTAATAAC